AGTGAGAAATGGAGCCCAATGACAACCATTRTTAATATCTCAAAATCTAAAACATCTTGAAGTGCATTTGCACGACTGGAAAATGCTGCCACAGGATTGAAAGTGCATGTATCACTTAAGACCCTGGACAGTAGATTGAACACTACCCTATGAATGACTTAAGAATAATTTTACCAATYTTGCCACAACCCTGCAAGCTGTGGTAGATAAGCACTCAGCCCACAGGGCCCTGAAATGAAATATGTTATGCAACTTCTTGATGACTGTGTCTGGAAAACTGGTCAATTATGTACGTACTTTCCCCTCCAGTCCCTTGGGGATAAGAAACAAGACCTATTAGAGATCCTTGACAAGAGGTTAATTGCTAGTCTATGAGAGATCTCAGATTAATTTCACCAATCTTGCCATAATACACAGAAGCACCTAGCTTAGGGAACCCTGAACTGAGATAAATTGAGCAACTCCTGGATAATCACRTCCAGACAACTGGTTAATTATGCAGACACTYCATCCTCCCCTCACTTTTCTCAGGCACTAAATAGCATTAGTCAAGAACACTTATGCATATACATCTAGTTAATAATTTTTAATGTCAAAAAAAGCTGTACTTATTCAAGAAACAACAACTGAGAGCAATGGTTCAGTATGAAAAAGAATGCAAAACAGAACAATTCACAAAACAAATTCTTCTCAATGAGTTACAATATGAACACTCAAAATACCATCAAATATGTTCAAARTAACAACATAAAGATGTTACACTGTAAATAACTAAGAAACTTTTGTTCAGATCATACTGTTTACCTATTTGTCCTGTGTATACAAATCCAGCATTTKAACATGTGTTTAGGATTTATTTCTGTGCGGGTTTTTTCCCCTCTTCCTTATTCTGTGAGGTTATAATTAGCAAAACTCTTCATTTTGAAAGAAAATAAATGTATGTATTTAAAAAAAACCTGCAGACACAATTTAATAAAGGATACTTATTAGGCTTACACCTATTTTTTTCTTTCTCTAACTTGATCAGAACACTTCACTACATGATCACTGGAGCAATTTTAATTAATTATCGCTGAATTTGACTCTCTCCAGATCCATGCTAGGCAGGTAAGTAGATTTGTCCACACYTTATATAAGGGAAACTGGACCAAAAAAACCACATACTTTATCTAAAACCTAAAAAACCCAAAATTCTTCACATTTCTAAAGATTCTTCCAGGAGACAAAGAAGGAAAATTTTTACTCTGTGGCCAAAAATACAGAATGTCTCTGTAACACACAGAATCCAAACCCAGGGAAATCTGAGTTCTRCTCTCATTTCCACACCACATCCTGCTAGACCTAAATGGATATTTATATTTTAATCAATCTKTAATGATACCATTGACACATCACAACCTATATTCTAATTATTACAGTTTGTATCAGTAAAGCCACAAGCAAGAACATAGATTCCTAACATATTTCACACATGCAGAGATCTATCCTTCATACGGAGACCCACAGCTGCTGTTTAAAGCACTGAAACCTAGCTCAGAACGAGGGTTACCTTTTCAGAGGGTAAAGAAGATGGAAATACAGCTCTTCTGCACACCTAAAGCTACCAAGGTTATCATTACCAGATGCAACTAAGTTTTATCATTCCTGGCTCTAAGTCCCACACTAAGCATGGCAATATTCAGCAGAAAGGGTTTGAAACATGAATTAAGTTGCAGAGAAGGTCTTCGCATTTTTAAGTACAGCAGCCACAACACTGTGTTTGGAAAAACTGTTCTGCCTGGAACTGACTATGGTAATCTTAACAAATTTATCTTTTCCCCAGTAATTTCTTGCTATTCAGACCTGCTTTACACAATATTGATGCTGAAAACAGGGGTGAAGTGGTACCAAGAGCAAATCTAGATCCTTCAGCCTAGGGTTTGTCACGGGAGCAAAAGAAATGCGAGGGATGCTTCTGGTGGTTACAAGATGCATATATGTATCCTTTTTTAATTTTTAAAGCAGAAAACATTGSTGCCCCTACTGTTAGAAGGGTGGCTTTTAATCAAATTCTTGATGCACCTCTGCTAAAGCAGCCATTCCTGCTTCCTACGCTGCCATTAGCCTGCTTACACTAGGAAGGGAAGCTAGCAAGGGGTTTGTTTAGGACCAGAAGGTGAGGATGGGATTAGAATCCATTTTCTTGGAATTGTTCTGTGGGTCACAAAAGACCATCAGTCTGTGYTGTGCACATTAGGAGTGCCAACAAAGCTTACAAGACAATAACAAACCTGCTTGTGGCCACTGGTACTCCTGTGTGGTCGGTTTGTGTTACTGGTATTACTTTTGTCAACAATAGCAAAGAGGGTTTACTCTCTCTAAAAGGATTAGGAAGATAAGTGTGGTTGGCAGCTCTATGAGAGCCTGTTAAGTCCAGACACACTGACAGACACCTCTAGTCTAGACCCAGATGGCAGCTTTAAGATTCCACCAGGAACAGGAGTGGAAGCCTTCACTCCTAAAGCAGGCAATAGCTAATACCACACTTACAAAGGGGGAAGAGAATTTTTTCTCATTTTTTTTCTGAGAAATACACAAAAACCACAGCGGGGGATATGCCATWAAAACATGAATTACATTGAAGAGAAAAAGACAAAGCATTACTTAGGTGTAAGCATCTGCTTCCACATGCTACTGCTGGATGTTATTTGGGGGAATCTGCACACAGCTCATCAGCATGTGATTTATACATCATAAAACAAACAATCAAAATTTAAAAAACAGTCTCTTTCCTAAACAAAGGGGATATATAAAAATGTTAAAAGGAGCAGTTTAGACTTTTTAGCTCTATTCTTTTTGTCAGAGGAACTTCTAGCAGCAACTCTGAAAAAAAACCAGCTGAATTCTACATTCACCAAAATCTAATGACTTTTGTTTAAAACTAGATACTTCCAGTTTTACTTTTTTTAATTTCCACTTCCTGCTTCCCTTCCAGGTGGACTCTCTATAAAATGGAGAAAAGGCTAATTTTCCTCTTAAGGCATTACTGGAAAGTGCTAGGTGAAATATAGAAATATATCATGCTCTTATGTAGGTGACTGATCTCATGTATTATTTACACAGCAGATCAAAACAAGGATGGAAACTAAAATTGCAATTGCAAATATGAATATCAAATAACTGAAGAAACACCTGGATAAATACAGATGCTCTATTCCCAAAGGTTCAGACTTAGCTACCAGAATACATACTAGCAGGAAGACAGTTCATCTGAGGAATTCTGCAGTACCTAATGCAGAAGAAAAGATGAAGGTCCCCTGCTCTCTTACAGGAAATGTCTGGGGCTGGAATGTATAGATGTAAATCAGCTTGTCAATAAAATACACAGGATCCTCAAATAACAGGATCAAACACATRCTATTCACTAGTCACATCTCAAATTCTGGATTTCTTGGGCAATGCCTGCATGCRTATTTTTTAAAGCACACTATTGGTCACAACATTAAATTCACAAATCATATCCAACAACAAACCTGCGATGCACAGCCCAACACATCTTCATGAAAACATCCTTATGACTAAGCACTAATAATTTTCTTCCAAACRCTCTTCAATTTGTTGGAAACAGGCCTCTGGCTAAAGCACAACAGGCATATACTTTAATAATCTCTTGATTACCTGGAGACAGCCTGGAACACCTAATAAATCTCTCTATTTTTCAGGTGGAGTGGGATTGATTTCCCCAGGGTTTCTTTGTCAGTTCCATTTTAGTACTTAATATGAAGAGAAAATTATCAGAGAAGGTCAAATTTGACAAGAAAAACTAGGAGTTCACACTGATGAAGACTTGCTGCATTTCAAATAAATGTCCACTTGCTTTTTCTCAGGCTCTATCTTCAGTCAATCTTTATTTAACATCGTATATGCTTCATAGCTTGCAAAAAGTGCAATCACAGCTCGGCAACATGCTCAAATAGCCAGAAGTTTCAACATTGGAACAGTAATCAAGTGAAAAATGGGGTGTTTTCTTCCTACCACTTTGTTAACAGTAAATAGTCAAATGTATTTTCCATAACCATGACTTCTTACTCCTGAAAATTTTATGAAATGACAGGTCTAAGTAAAAGTTTGAGACATGCTGATAATTTTAATCCTCAATTGTTTAATGAATTTATTCAACAGATTTTATACTCTATACACGTTCTATTTTCATGTCAATCTTCAATAGTATAAACAAATGCTATATTGACTTACAGAGGAGTTTAACCCTTGGTAACAAACAGTGTAAAAATGTTTTGTTCTAAGCCTTTTTTTCTCTAATTTAAGATCCAAATTTTATGGAAACTTGTACCAAATTTCTCCTCTTACTCTAGCAATGGGAATTTAAAATACTTTGGTTTTTAAAGAATATTTAAAAATACAGACAAAAAACCATTACATTTTAAAAAGGGAAGAAAATAGCACTAAAGACACTGCAAAAAGTTAATAGATGTAGCCAGGTTATTAAAATGTAGATAATTACATTTAATATTAATGARTGTAACTATGCACATTCATTTTTATTTCCCTACAGTGAATATTTACCTCAAAGTTTAAAATGCTCTTTAAAGTTTCAATGCAAATCTTTCAGATCTTTTCAACATATTTCTGCACAGCTAAAATGCAGCAATCTTCTTACAGTTTTAAGAAACTGCATTTTTCATACTTCCCTATAAAGCTTGGCAACATTGGCAATGCTGTATATGGTATTGAATGTATTCAGCTTTTAGGACAGCGTTTACAGTTAAAGTTTTCATATCAGCACCCACTTTCTTCCCAACTACAAGGCCAGATCCCGCAAAATTTTATTCTCATAAATACTGTACAAGACTGGYTTCATCAATTTCTTTGAGAATTTCTCACATAAGACCTTTTTCTTGCTTAATTTACACTGAACAATGCTACACAATGCAAAAGAAATCAAGATCAAGTTCTTTTACACTCCATTTTTGAAAGGAAGTAAAGAAAAATTTATATCTTACCTGAGTCTCCACACCTTGCTCAAGCAACCTTTTAGCCTGGTTTTCCACTTCAAGACGAGCTCTTGCAATAAAAAGCAGGTCATTTTCAATTACTTCTATTCCAGACAGATCTATCCCTTGAGAAAGATAATCTATAAAAGCAATGAAACATTGATAAGCATGACACAGGATAAGAGAACATTTTAAGCATGTTAAAACATTTCACAGTTACAGTCAGTTCCCAGGCACATTTTTGTATAAAACACTTGACAATACAGTACATCGAAGTAATGTCTTATACCACTAAAACTGAAAATCAAAGGATTATTACTCAAGAAAATCTGGATATTGAATACACTGAATTTACTTCAACACACTTCTCTAGACCCAGAGACTGCTGGAGAGGTACAAAACGTGGTTCTAGGAGCCGCAGAATCAAAATCACAGGCCAGAAAGGGGCACAAAGTCATACCCTTGTCCCAAAGAATTAACTAGATCATTAAACTTCTCTAACCAGATATTCAAATAAGAATAATTTCCTCTAAGATCTGAAATTAAGATGCATTAAATAGTTCAAATTATACTTCATATATTTAAATTGCACTTCTAAACACTTGAGATCAAACACAAAATAATGTCAAGAGAGGAAATTAATATTTCTTTTTTCTTTTTAATCACAGAATCATCACAACATGTATTACCATTGTGGAAATCACTATCAGTAGGATAGCTACAGATTACTGGGGTAGRCTGGCAACTGCTGCAATAAAATCTATTCAAATTCAACTTTTCTCAACTTTTTTCCCCWCCTTTTCTATCTTTCTGGATTTAAGTCAGCCTCATTCCCCATGACGAGGTAGCCCAGACCTTTATTGCTTACCTCCTAGACAATGCAGGACTACTCTTATTTACACAGTTTTCAACATTTTGCTCAATCAAGCAGGTTTTCCACTGCTTCTTTTGAAAGATCAAATAAAACTAACAAAACAATGGCCAAGGCATCTCACACAGTATCAGATACTTCATAAGATGATGTTCCACTATTTYCATTTATAAGCAGCCCTCTATGACTTCCTAATAAAGTTATCTTCCTTTTAGTCCTCACAGTAAGTTTATTAAGGCACAGACTTAAACATTTTAACTAAGCCAATTGAACTTTAAAAATCTTTGCCAAATAACCTTTCACTTTAGTAGCCAATTATTTTTGTTTATYCACAATAAATTAAACTAATTCTCAGAATAATTTTAGCAATCACATGTTCACAACTTAACACAAAATTCCAAGTGAATTACTTCACAGCTATGTAGAGAACATCCCTGTATCTGCACATGAAAAATACTAYATAAGAAATTGAAACAAAAAGCTTACTGAAACACTGCATAAAGCTTACTAAGGCATTAAGGAAATCAACTCTTTTAACAGTACGGTATGTCAAATAGGTTTTAGTCTACTAAGAATAGGTCTGCAAATGTTTTTGTCTGTATGCATCTGTTAAAAATGGATCAGAGGAGTCAGAGATCAGCCCAGCAGCAGGACAGCACGGGCTATTCATGAAGCCCTGTGTGTTGATGTGTTTACAGAGCTGCTTTTGCCACGGGCTACAGCAGCCACACTTAGCCATTACTTCCCTGCAACTTTTTGCTGTGACTAAGCTCCATCTCTACAGGTGGTGTGGCATAGGAACCCATTAAAACTAATATTAAACTCCCACAAGTTCCATTGTTCAAGTCTCGAATGTGAAGACTGGTTTTCTGACCCCTTTCTTTCAGCTGTACAAAAAACAAAGGMGTAAAGCACTATCACAGATTCAATCTACTGCCATAGTAAACTCTGAAGAAGTTTCTTGACAGCATGAGATTGAAAAAGGTGCAAATRTTACTAAAGACTTACATATACCACAAATACAAGAACTATTGCATAGTTCATTTATGGCATCAAGTTATGTTCTGGAAGCCCAGGCTGCTTAAACAAACAATTAAAATATGGTTATGATCTTCTAAATCCACAGAAAAAAAATCTGAAGAAGATAACTGAAAAAGATACCATTTCTTCCTGCTGCGTTTTATCTCGAAATCTAAATTAAGTCACTTCAAGTGCTAAAAATCTAATCCTTCTGATGGTTTTAAGAAAAGAACAGAAAGACCATGCTGCTTTGGCTTCTYCAAATACCTCCATCTGTGTCTCAGACTGGCAGCCACCTCCTGCTAAACTGTTAAAATCTGCAGCTTTGTTCCAAATTTTCTGCAATTCTAACAAAATGTAYTGGGACAATGCATTTCAGCAGGACTTCAAAACAATGCACCTTTCTGTGCGTTCAGTGGTTAGCTGTCCTCCTGTGTATGCTCCTAGTTGCTATTCTAACAGTAACGAAGCTCTAGCGATTAAACAGTTTTGAAAAGAAAAGCAGTTTTCATAAGGACAGCAGGTCTATGGCAGAAACACCTGCAAGTGCTTTCCTGCCGTTCTTATGTGAGAGCAGAAGCTGCAACACAGGCGGGATATGTGCCTTTTGATTACTTTTGTAATCTAAGCAGACAACATCGTATTAGAAATCTCTGGACTTGTGTACTCTCAAGAGTGATATTGCTATCCTGGGCAGCATAATGAAACCRAGCAGAAGGGCAGTTGACATAAGAGCAGCCAGAATGCCTGTGCATTTCAGATCTGTTTTATTTAAAATATTGCAGAGGAACTCACACATTCCAATTTTAGCTAGTAAAGAAACCCTGTCAAGTGAAACACAACAAAGACACTACCAGTTATTAACTCAGGGACTAGCAAACGTAGGATTTTGCTTCAGGCACTTGTGTGATCATTATTCTATTTCTTGCCATGCACAGTCAGTCAATAACACTGTGGTCATGATCAGAGGTGAGTGGATCATGATGTGTAAGGTACAGGAAGTAAGCAAAAACGATGGCTCACTCCTCATGAGCACAGACTCYGGGGATTGGTGTCCAGCTTTCTATCTGCTTTAACCTTAAAGCTCTGGAGTAAAACTATTACTGTATTAACCCTAACAGATTTAGTGTATATAACTGACATCTCTCTCTCCCTTAACAGATTTAAAAAACACCTATATAACATTTTGTTACCCTCGGGAAGATGTGTGTTTTAAACAAATTGGAACCTAAGTATCTTGTAACACCATGTGCCAGGGCTGSAGCAGCTATCAAGGCATCGCCCTCACAGCAGCACCACACGCTGCTCCAGCCACTTATCTGCACAGCCAGGGAGCAAATTACAGGAGGGAGCTATACTCCTATAGCCATTCCCCTACCTCTCCTCCCTCTGATAATGCTACCTCTTTATACAGSTTCATGAACATAAAGGCAAATTCTTAATTCTCTCATAGGGTCTTGCTATTGCTTCCTTTCTATCACACCCTATTAAACTTGGAAAGCACAGCTGGATATTACTTTTTAAGAACTTAAAATACAGACTGCCTGCTGAATCCTTTTCTTGAACAAAAAATATTGTATGCCAAGGCAGAATACACTGAGACCTAGGAATAAGGCATATTTACAATCTACTTCAGGCTACCAAAGGATTAGAACTTTGTATTTCTTAATAAAACAACTATTTTTGTCACTACAATTCTAAATTTCCTTGATTTACTAAAMCTGAACAGCTTTTCTAATCTACTGGCTGAGTAGCTGCTTGAAAATGCATTTTTAAGTRTTTCCCAGATAGTTATGCAAAAGGAATTTCATAGAGACAAACCCAATATGAAGATAGTACATTAGGCAGAAAAACAATACTTTAGCAACACCGTTAGCTTTTCTTAATCTAAATGACTCACCAATACAGAATCTTTCTATTATGTGMTCTCATTTTTTAACCTCAAATATTCTTTGTGATAATACAGAATCAAGTTAAGAAAACTTTCTGTAAGTATTTAAACACATTTTGGAGCAGAGATTAACTATGAAGCTAGCATCACTATCAGCTCCACAAGAACTGTATTATGTCTTTATATAAACTGAATTGATTTAGAGCTTTTGCTAAAAATTAGAGAATCAACAGAAGTCTACTGAGAACGATCAGGTGTACTAACGAAGAGGAAAGCAGACAACAGACATTAGTAAACCAATGTGATTAAGCTGCATCACTCATGAGGCTACTTGAGTCAAAAGAGAAACCCTTCTGTGCTCTGAGAACTAACCTCAGTGACACTAATAAAGAGGGGGAAAGAAGGAAATTAGAACATCTGAAGTGGATTCCCTGGAAGCAAACACCTAAGATCTGCACACATGTAAGTCCCCTCAAATGCAAGAATCCAATGACAAACTAAGAGGTGRAATGGAATATTGGGAATATTCCCACAGAATACCGGGAAGGAGGGGAGGGGGATTGTTAACGGGAAATAACCCATTACTGAAACTTTACATTCATTCATAGATTGATGAAATCACAGTTCTTTCCTTGACTGTTTGAGGAAGGTTGGAGGGTTATTTCTCTTGCATTGGTCATTTGCTTTACTTGGTTCTGCAGTCTTAGTTGTAGATAACGCTGGTGATATCTGTACCCTAAGAAGATACTGCTATTTTCCCATAATGAAGAAAAGCTACAATTTAATTTTCCCATAATGAAGAAAAGCTACAATAATCTTATTTTCCCATAATGAAGAAAAGCTACAATTTTTTAAGAAACTACTAATTTAAATTCCAAAAAGTAACAGGTCTAAATGACACCCAAGAGTTCCGCTGGGATTTAAGTATGCAGATGATGAGAGGCTACATGCTTTATCAAGTACTACTATAAAAGGCTCATGTGTGCATGGTAGAAGACGTTCAWGAGAATGAACCTAAACTGCTACTGGCAATATTTATTTTTATTACCTTCCATGGTCTTAAGGGAAATGTTAGTTRCAGCACTAGCTACTGAAAAAAAAAGACATCCTGTTTGCCCCAGCTGTATCTGAACCAACAATCCGGGATGCTGCTGAGCCCAAATATGTCAATTTGTTTGTTTTCATCATGCAGCTAACTTAAAACCAAAKCCTTAGAACAGAGCCTGAGATCCCAATACCTCAGCAGAATATCAATGCTCACCCTTTGGTGACAGAAATCTATGGTTTTACATTATATCTTCAGTGTCTAGGCAGAATAGGCAAACACCCTAACTTAAAGAACAATGGTCTGCTGTTTG